ATTTTAAAAGTCTGAAGTACCTACACGTTCTAATCTTTTGTGTTTCCTAATATTAAATTTAATGTAAGAGAATAATAATAAATATTTATTTTTTTAATTTTGCAAATGTAAACTGAACTTTATTAACTATAATGACTCCTTTTCCAGTCTTTGATTATTTAATTGTAATTAATTATCTGCATGCAATCAAAAACTATTTTTAATAATGCCAAAGAAGTATAACTTCTTACGCGCGTACATAAGTACACGCGCCCTTTTTTTATGTCTCTGTTTGTTGTCTGACTTCCTATGATATAAAAGGAGAATTGCAGGTTAAATGTGCGTTTCTTAACCTTGAGAAAACGTTACAATATACGTAAGCATTTTTAAAATAAAAACATTTTTTTATGTTTCATCAAGGTTGCCTGAAATTATATAGAATTCGAGAGTTTTTAGATATATAGAACTCATTGATTTAATATGTAGAAAGTAGAATTTGGTATTTAATGTTTAGGTAATAAGCAATTATTTAATATTCGCGTGTTTCATAGCCGCCTAGCAAAGGCTACACTTTGTAACAATAATGAGACATGTACGCTTGTGTAAAAAGCATATTAATTTTTGCAAAATGAATTTTACAAAGTTACAATAAAGCTTTGAAAAATTTTTGTAATTTGTCAGTCACTCGTAGAATCGAGATAGTTGTTTTATGTACTCTGTCTTGTTTGATTCTGTGAATATGTATGATATACTGTGATAGACATAGATAGTCGAAAACTGAATTAGTATGAATGTTTGTCGACACGAACTGTCATTTTCATTGTGTTGCCATATACAGATTATTAAACTACTAAGATCGCTATTAAAATAGTTGCTTTTAACAAATTCGCTCATTAAAATTTCTATAAAATGAATTTAAAACATTACCAAATGTTTAAAAACAATTCAAAATATTCCGCATCGCATTTGCTCCGTTAATAATTCTTGTTTGTAGTTCTTTTGCGGATGACACAGGCGAGAAGTTGTAAACTAAAGAGAGCTTAAGGTAAGTTTAGTTCGAATATGAACTTCCCCCTGCTTCCTTTGTAATCATTTTTTTTCAGTTTCTTTGAAATAAGTTCCTGGTTATGAATTGTTGTAGAGCTTAGTCATGCATGTCAAGATTCATAACATATTTTTTGCTTTTAAGTCATTAATAAATCCCAAAAAAATATCGATTTCAGTTAATATAATAAAACTGTTACTGTTGGTAAATAGCCAGTGTTCAATTGTTTTTATAAATCACAAGAAATACATTTAAATATATACTTTTTTAAATAAATTTTTGATGTTTCATTTTGTGAATATTTTTGTACAAGCCTTAAAAAATTATAAATAAAAAATTATCCACTATTGCACAATACATATAGAGTCACCCCTTCCACTTCCTAACAGGACTTACTAATAGACCCATAAACAACTAGAAAACATACGAAAACCTTTTTTTGTTTCTAATGAATAAACTTAAAAACTACTGGATCGATTTCAAAGATTATTGTACTGTTAGGATACCACATTAGCTACAACCCTAAGAATTCGTTATTTCAAAAATTCTTTTTAAAAAAGCCGTGCGAATCCGCTACAAACCGTAGTATAACCAAGCTTTCAATATATGGTTGAACCATTGAGAAACAACAATTATTTTAAAATACATTTTATAATGTTAATTGCTTTTAATTAAAATGTTACGATCAATTAACTTCATATCATGTGCTTTACAGAGTGAAATTTTCATGCTACATTTGCATTTCATCAATAAATATTATTGATATGTTTTTGTTTGAAATCAGTTTTAGATAGAGATTATTTTTTTTTTTTTGAAGTGAGCGGCTGAGAGATTGAAGATGAAGTCTAGGAATAATATTGTTAGAAGGTTTCTTTGTTAGACCTGCGTCGTACCTGTCTACGGAGGCCCTTTACATCTCAAACAAGCATCAGACCACAATTAGTATAATTATCTCACTTCGATTTCATGCTAATTGTAATACGATTTTCACGGTACATTGCACAGACTAGTAATATTGTATTAGTTTCACGATCATTACTACATACTTGCTATTCTTGAAATATTAAATTATCATTATTAGGCACTTCTTTACAGTTTTAGTTGTATGTTATGAAAGTAGCTTAAAGCCTTGATAATAAAATATATAAACAGACTATTTTTTTATGGCAATAGTTTTAACTTTATGCCAGTTTCAAGTAAAAGGTAGAGAAATTACACGCGAGAAAAAATAAATAAAGACATCAAAAGGAAATAAAGGGATAAGCTAACAAAATATGTACATAAACATATTAAATCCAATCATTATTACTGATTATGAAAGAAGATAATAACATTATAATACAATAAAGGATAACGCAAAAGGCAGGATTTTAGTTGGAAATGGAACATGTAGTAATTGTAAGGAATTCAGAAAGGAGGTGCGGTGCGGTCGGTCGGAACAAGAAAAGAAAATATGGTCGATGTCACCAATATCTTGTCCACAATCACAAGTCAAGTCAAGTTAAATCATTTATTTCAATTAGACAACCTAAAATGGCACTTTTGAACGTCAAATAAAATATAAAGATGATTCTAGTTGCCTGATGTTGTTCGTGGGGAGAAGAATGGGCAAGAAACTCCACATTTACTCTTTCAAAATAGGTTTACAATACTTTGCATACATTAGTTAAATAATTATAGGTATGTGAAGACAATGTACGCCTAGAATAAAACTACTATACTACAAAGTTAGTATACATGTTCCTCACATATTTACAAATATCGAAACTGTAGAATATTATACATTAAAGAGTAATATAAATAAAAAAACACAATAAAACAGTGTGTGAGAGAAAAATTACATTTTATAGTATTATAAAATAAAAATAACAAACATATGTAAAACCAAAAAAATCAGCAACCAATTTGATTTGGTCCAGGCTCTATGATTGTCCTATGGAACAGGACCAGCATGTTTCCAAGCATTCTTATCTTGAATATAATCCTCTAATTTTTAATATGCTTGTTAACAAAGTATACTTTTAATAAAACATTTAAATTATCGTTCATTTAGTTTTAATATATCACAAGGTATTTTATTTTATCATTTTACACAGTACCCCATAAATGATGTTTGAATTTTGGCTAATCTGAAAGATGGTTGAGCTATTTTATCTTTATTTCTAGTACTAAAATTATGTCTATCACTTATTTTACTAAACACAAATATAACTATCAACAAAACGAAGCCTTGCTAAATGATGAGGTGTACATATATGTCCTAAGTTCACAGACTATTCGACATTATGATTAGAGCTTGTTGAAATATAGCAAAATTGTAAAATTGCATATAGCAACCTCGCGGCAATATATTGCGTTATGCCGACGGACTTGTATCCATGTAAAAAACGACGATATCACCGTGGCGCAAAGTCGGTATGTTATTAGTGTAGTAAAATCGCTACATAATATATTATTTATATAGCCAATCCTTTCAGTAAGACTGTGTGTGTCTGTGATGGTTATGAAAAATAAGGTTTTTCAAGAAAATACCTCTAAAAGGTACCTTCCGCTCTTGACGCTCTGGAAATTGTGGCCGGAGATTGAAACTATTCCTATAACCTACAAATCCATTGACAAATAAGATTTCATATTAGACATATACTTTTAACTAGATTCCGCCGTAGCTTTCACGTAATCGTTTATTTTAGCATAATATATTATTTATAATATGATTTTCTGCAACCTCTTCAACAAAAGTTTTAAAATTCAGTCAATTTACATAAGTATATCGAACTATATACGTTACCCGTTCTCAGAAATCACACTATCTATGGTGAACCTATACTAAATCCGTTCAATAGTGTTGAATTATATCGCGTTTATAGCCAGGCGCTAATGAGGGACTTATTTTCCAATTTGTAAGGATAATTGAAGGTAATAACTCCTATTTTTAATAATTCAAAGAATCTTATACATCGATCGGGCACCTACGCGCCAATTATAAGAGGATTTGAAAATACTTTTATGTCTTCGTCTGTAAAAATGATCTCCCGTCGACGTTAATTAATTCACGATTCTATTTTGTTTTCTAAACAAATATTTTTTTCAGTAATTTGATTACACAAAAACATTTTCTTGAAACAAAACCGTCGGCACGAAGGGTTATTAAGATATGTTATACCTAGGTCCTGTGGCATAATTTTTGCGCTTCCTGCGACCTAAAGATATGATCCTCGATCAGCCTACCTAACTCAGGCCTCAGTAACTAGGATCCTTAGCGGTCGGAGTAACTGTGTAAGCGCGTTTCAGGGTCTAACGTTATACCAGTGTAGCCGTAGATTAAGTTGGTGTCGCTTCAGTTTTAACTACACCCATTTTTAGTGTACTCCTTAGTGCAGGAAGTGTATACCCACTGAGACCCCAAGGCGCCACCAACATTCGCTCTAGGCAGGACGCGCTAGCCATATCCGTTTTTATTACACGCCCTTCACAGACTTTGACCAAATATGTACATAAACATCTCTATGTTTGTATCTACAGATGAGTGTAAGTTTCACAAATGACGCCAGTTTGGAAGACCACACAATGAAAATTTGTTGTCGATAGATCACTATGTAATTTGAGAAATTTCAAAAAGCGAATACGCTTTTATTAAAACCCTAGTTCACAGAATTTCCAACAAATACTAATTCAATATTCCTCTTTGTAAACGGATTTCCAGGAAATCTGTCCTTTGTGTTTTATGCAGTTTCCGCTTCGTGAAAATTCACGTGAAACTCGCATCAATTTTGCTTTGTATGATTTTAATAAGTTCGACGAACGCCTAGATTAATTTACCAGTCGCCATCCCCAAACAATTACACTGGATGTCACCCACACTGTCCATTTAATAATTTGATTTTGACGTTACTAAAACAGATCAGACGGAAATTAAAAAGTAAAAATAGATGAATTTTAAGTAATATAATAAAACACTTTCGTATCAGAAATATATTTATCCCATAAAATTAGGGCGTCCGGAACGAAATTCGCTTATAAATCTAAAGTTTTTCATTTTTAACCGGAATTTCCCCTTCTTCTTCAGTCGACCCATGCGTTGGAGAGTACGTATTGCTGGTAAGAATCTGTATAAGGCATTCATTTCGTCTCCCATACAGAATAGGAAGGAGGATTCGATGTAGGCTGAAAACAATTGCTATCTATACTAATATTATAAAGAGGAAAGGTTTGATTTTTTGTTTGTTTGAAATGAACATGCTCCGAAACAACTGGACCGATTTCAAACATTCTTCCACCATTGGTAAGCTACACTATTCCTGAGTGACATAGGCTATGATTCATTTTGAAAAAAAATAGGGATGCTTACTAAAACTTGAATAATCTAACCCAAGGTGTAAAAAAATAAACAAAAAACTTCCTTTAATCGTGTGCGCTTCGAAAACTATTAATGATTGAACAAAATGATGTATTAAAATTTTTCAGGACACATCACTATCTATAAAAAATGTCTCGACAGCATGTCTCTATCTTTTATAGTTACGTCACAATAAGCGTCCTTTTATGAATTTTTTTTATTAAAATACCACCGCTAGAAAAGGCTCCTTATTCGTACCTAGGTATTGATCCTTATCAAAATAATTACCAACGTTTCACATAAGCTACAATTTAATGACATAACCACCAAAACAGCATGGTGGATTGGTGTTCTCCTGCCTTTTCTCTTGAACAGTTTACTACTATGTAATATAACAAAAATCTTAGCCACAGCAACGCTTAGCCGAGTCTACTAGTCTACAATAATTTGTCTAAACCTTTCCATAGTCTTAATTTAACATTTCATTCATTTTCATATTATCCTTATATTATATTGTTAAATGGACTACCGAACGTCATAAAAGGCGTGCTATTGCGAGAGATATTTCATTACAGGCCGTCGGGCGGTGCTAAAAAATAGTTTCGGAAATCGTGTAAAATGTTCTGTAGGATAGATTTTTCTGCTAGCCGTAATAAAGTTCATTTATCAAGTTAAAATGTTTGTGGTTGATGTAACACTTAGCTACTCAGAGACGAATATATCCTCTTGAGACAGCTTAATATAGGCTTAGAACAGATCGCCTAATTTCAATAAGAAAACCCGTTGAACCATGTAATTCAACAAGTGCTATGGGAATCGGTTACTATCTATGTTTCAAACCCCTAAATGTGAAGGGTGGTGGTCCACCCCTGATTTTAATTTTAATTTTTGAGATACATTTTTTTGTTTTTATTTTTTTATGATATAACATACAAAAATACATACAACCCTTAATTTTCATCCCTCTACGATCAACCCTTAATTTTTATTTGTTAATTAAAATCTTATGACTTGAACTCTGAGGTTTATATATAGACAATTCACAGAAAAGCTTAAAAAGTTTTCATTCCAAAAAACCGAACAGTCTAGGGGTAGCATAGCAAAATGTTCCATGATGGTATGTACTTAAAAGGTAGGCTAAGTAAAATCACATTAAGAAACGAAGTTCGCGGGGGCAGCTAGTCTGTGTATAGACAATTCTCGTCAACAGTATTTCCACCAAACGTCTTAGCCATTACCTCACTCGATTCATTTCCTCTCTACCACTAACCATTTTAACAGTGATAGGTATTAGAAGTGTAATGTACTGTATATGCCAAAAAAACAGTCTGTGGCGCTACAACCTCTTTAGGTCAAGCCCTCAGATTTCTGAATCTGTTTCATGATCATTTTTCATTCGAATAGGCAAGTAGGTGATCAGCCTTCTGTGCCTGACATACGCCTTCGACTGTTGGGTCTAAGACATGTCGGTTTCCTCACGCTGTTTTCCTTCACCGTTCGAGCAAATGTTAAATGTGCACATAGAAAGAAAGTCCATTGGTGCACAGCCGGGGATCGGACCTACGGCCTCAGGTATGAAAGACGCACACTGAAGCCATTAGATCGACACTGCTCTATATGCCAAGCCTTATGTTAAATAGTTGTAAATTTATAATAATACATAACTTCAATCCGGTTAAACAGTTTTTTTTTTTTTAAATGTGTAAAGGTAATGTAAATCAAAGACAATAAACATTTACAAATAACCATTTAATAATGTCGTAACAACAAAAAACCAGTCATAACACGTAGTGGTCAATAGCAGCTTATATTTGTTTTAGAACCGTTTGATGTTACTATAGTTATCGATGTGTCAAATTAATATCCGATATTCTACCTTTGACGTTGACATGTTACAGGGAGCTGGGATTGAACGATGTGTCAACATGGCTTTGCCTTCAGGCACAGTATCGTGTCATAGTATGGGGGATATACAAATGGTATGAGGGTACTAAATAAATGCAATCAGCGAATAGAAAAACGGAATCAGAAATGTTGATTAGGTACGTGTTTTATGTAATTTATGTTGAAAGTTTGATGAATTAAACAATAAAATTGGTATAGTATGAAGCCATCACCAAGTTATTATTAATATTTAACATTTAATTTATTAATATGACTTGTCTAAAGTAATTAATAATCAGTTTTATAAAAAATAATGTCTTAATAATAGCACGTTTTCTTAGTTTTTTTGAAAAAATTTATTATTGTATTTTTGCACTGTCCCTGTACAATTATAATTTGGCATACCATATATATCTCTTGTATCATACGGCTTTGAGATATAACATCATAACTATATGTTTGCACCACTGCATTTAGCCAAAAAAGGATTGTGATGGAACTTTTCTGTTTGTCCTTTTGTAGCTGCTACCTAATAACCACCTTCATGATTCAGTGGTTTCACATTGCATTTTACTTGAGGTCCTGCGTTACCGAAAAATTTGTTTCGGGTCGGTATAACTGCAAATAGGTCTACACTTGGCCGTTGGGCAAATAAAAATCATCTTATAAAATCACAAAGTGATGCCATTCACCTACAGATTAGACTACAGACTATTGATTTCTTAAGAAACTTTGCGAAAGATTTTGACGTCTTGTTACCTACTTAATTTTCTTTTCAGACTTGAACCACCTACGCTTTATTTCGACTTAATTACCACGTATTCTATTGTATTAATAATCAGTGGCGCCAAAACCTCTTTAGGTCTGGGCCTCAGATTTCTGAATCTGTTTCATGATAATTTTTCATTCGAATAGGCATGTAGGTGATCAGCCTTCTGTGCATGACACACGCCGTCGACTGTTGGGTCTCAGGCAGGCCGGTTTCCGCACGATGTTTTCCTTCACCGTTCGAGCGAATGTTAAATGCGCACATAAACAGAAAGCCTATTAGTGCACAGCCGGGGATCGAACCTACGACCTCAGGGATGAGAGTCGCACGGTGAAGCCACTAGACCAACACTGCTCATTCTATTGTATTATTATTATATATACGTAAATTAGCAGCAGTATTATACTAGTGGCTCGCAGCGACCCCTTAAACTGCGCGTCCGAACACGGCGTTGCACTAATCTAACTTTCTATATGCGCAATTAAAACTTGTCGGCATATCTCAAAACCAAAAATTTACAACATGTGTCAGGCACGGAAGGCTGATCATCTAATTGTCCAGCCAATAGGGTTGGAACACCGCTGGGTTATTATTATATTATTATAATGTTTTTAATTATTTTGTAACTATTGTTCGTGATAAAGGTGTCAATAATTGTTTAAAGAACCTAATTACTGACTAACTGTTGAGACTAAAAAGTGACATTTTTAGGTCTCCAACGCTTTAACAGAAATAGAGAAAAATGTACGAGCGCGTACAAATTTTTAATTTACTCAGAGAAGCGTCATTTACGCGTGTCTTGCGCACACTGAATATTATTGTATGTGAGACGGATATATTTAGTTGCACACTGGCTGAATTTACAAGAATTGCATTAATTATAATAACAAAAAAGGTTTTATGTTTGCTTGTTTTCTTTTATGTTCTTGTATTAATAAGTTTACTATTGTATTAGTGTTAAGTTACTGTAAAAATAGGAAATAAATAACTGTATTTCGATTTTTACAGGTAATTAAAGAGGTTTTAACATTTTTATCTGAATTTCTTTAAATTTAATAATTTTTATGAAACGGTAAAAAATAGGACTATGTCAGAAGGCATCTTGACCACAAAACTGGTGGCTAAAAATTACTGTCATTTGTTATTTACATGTATATAAAGGCTTCATTCATTTGTTTTTGTAGGGGATAAACTCAAAAACTATATTATCCATGAGTTACATGAAAATGTTAAGTCCTAAGTATAATTTTATCGGCATCGGTTAATCAGTACAGTGCCACGATTTTTATAGCACCACGAAGCGAAAATTTGAAAGTTCGCTTTTTTTAACCGACGAGCCTAGGCGTTGATTTAGAAAATATTCTTGCTATCTATGATCAGCAGGAATATTTTCTAAATCAACGCCTAGGCTTGGTTGAATATAAGGTAAATTCATAATAATTACATTACTTATTTAGCATGAATTTTGTATAAACGAAGGGTTAATTACAAAGAACTCTACTGATGTAAAATCAGCAACTATCAAAGTATATTTAAATATTATATTATTAAAGGACTATTCTTGTAAACTTAGGACAAAAGAACTCCCCAGTAATGCCGCTTTGCCTTTGAAAAATTTAATCAGCGTTCTTTGAAGGCGTTATGAACAAGAATTATTTTTATAGAATATAATACATTAACGTCAGGTATATTTTGTCTACGGTAATCACTGAATCAAATTTAATTTTCTTTTACAGTTCCAAATCAATTTAATGTTTTTTATCGCGAGTAATGCCTTTGTGTCTGCCAACACGATGTGGCTCTGACCACGACTGTAATCAAAACTTCGAGTTAAATATTTGCGCTTTAATCCCTTAAATACATTTGTAATTCGCCCTTCATAGCCTAGCGGTGTTATTAATTCCGCTAGGTGAGGGTATCGGGTTCGATTCCCGGTCGAAGTGCAAGTTTATTTCTATAAATTTATAGGTACCCCACAGACGTTGTCCTGCATGATATTTAAAGCGATTAGGATATTAAGCAAAGTATGAAAGTACCGACTGCAGTGCCATCTGCCGGGCTGATTTGTGAATCTAAACCATTCCCAGATCCCCTTCAACACACACAAAAAATTTTATCAAAATCGGTCCAGTCGTTTGAGAGAAGTTCAGTCACATACACACGCACACAAGAAATATATATATTAAGATAGGTACCGGGCGAGTGCTTAAACCGTTCATGGAGGCACGGTTGAATATCTAAGGCAAGCAGTACTTAAGAAAATAGACTGTGAGGTTTGGGATGTATGTATATTAGGCCGAGGATGGAAATTGCGAATGGTAATTCAACATTCCTTTTTTAGGGGCGGAAAAGCGGAACCCAAATCTGCCATATCATGTTGTATGTGCGAGCGACTACATGCCGGCGGCACTCTGTGCGGAAATGCATTCCCCTCAATAAAAATAAATGTACTGTAGTATGATAGCAGGTAAAATTGTTGCGCGATGATAAGATAGCTAACCTATGGTGTTAGATAGTTAGGCAGTGTTAGAGATTTAATAAAACACTATTTTGACCGGATTGAAGTTATGTATTATTATAAATTTACAACTATTTAACATAATTTTAAATTTATCCGACGTTTCGCGTGCTTTACAGCGTGCGTGGTCACGGTGACTGAAGACAAAAGATGTTGAATGTCAAAAAGTATCACTGCTGCAGAGAAAGTTGCATTATCTGTATTTATTTCCCCGGAGTTGGTATCGACTAAAAGATGGAGGGTTTTGGCAAAAATGGCTTACGGTGTCCTCTATTTTCGCGAAAATACACAATGACATTCAACATCTTTTGTCTTCAGTCACCGTGACCACGCACGCTGTAAAGCACGCGAAACGTCGGATAAATTTAAAATTATGTTAAATAGTTGTAAATTTATAATAATACATAACTTCAATCCGGTCAAAATAGTGTTTTATTAAATGAATAAAAGTTATGTTAATCAAAGACAATACTAAGTGTTAGAGATGCTTTTGAGTACGTAGTTACACACTTCTTTCATTCACTGACTGACTCATGCACTCAGGCGTGTTGATACCAGTTGAAATTATAGATATAACTGATACTTACAAGAGCTATGTGAAGTACTACTTTTGTTCTCCCAAAACATCTTGCATTGTGCGACATCCATGAAACAGTGGTTTTTGAACATCAGGGCTGGTTCCCTCGCCATGATGCCGGCTACACCACACACGGGAGCATAGGTGTCTGGACATTTCTGGAGCAGAAATCTTATCACTGAATTAATATTTATTTTATTCAGATTATAAATCCATATTTTGTTATGGGTCTTTTTGAAGTGAAACTTCTTTAGTGATCGTAAAATTTTTACGGTTGAAACGCAGTTATAATAATATTAGCGCCACGAAGATGTGTGTGCAGCGTTTTTGTTGAAGAAAAGGGAGATACCCATTGAGAGAGAGTGAGAAGGGCGAATTACAATGCCACGTGTTTTTATTATCGAAGAATGAAATAAAAAAACATTAAATTTATTTTCGACACTTTAAATATTTTAATGACAATTAAATTCATTAAATTCCTAACAGATCTTCCTTTTTCCCTCTCTCTAAGTCTCAGAAATTTAAAGTTTTAGATTTGTATAAGGCTTAAAAATTAGTTTGCCAAAGAAGTTTCACTTCTGACATGTGTACTTTGTACGCATGCACTTTTTTATGTTATAGGAGGCACATGGGCAGGAGGCTCACTTGATGTAAAGTAATACCGCCGCCCATGGACCCTAACATTCCCAGAATTCTCGCACGTGCGTTGCCGGCCTTTTAAGAATAACAATTAGGTCTGAGTAGCGTATATTAGTAATGGCTAGTAAACAAAAGAACTTATGTTGAAGCTTGTATTATAATAGAGTTGTATGTATATCAGTTCTCATTTCTATATTTAGACTTTAATACGTTAACTTCGGAATCTTTTGACGAATAATATACTTTATGAAGCCGTGGTAATTAAGAAATGGACGATTCAATCGTGATTTTTAAGAAGATTGAAGTTTATTTTTAGAATAGATTGTGACTTTTAAAATTATTAACGTGAGTTATTGATTCGCTAATTCGTGATTCTGAGACAGGAAAGACTTTATGTACGTGTTTTTGTTCAATAATATCCAAAATAATAATCCCACGAAGAGTGTTCAGAGGAGATGTTCAGATGACCTGCAGCTGAGTTTCATCATCGGACATCGACGTCCGCCGTTCCACAACTGACCGTTCTTTAAGGCAGTTTCTAAACTAGCTGCCCACTGAACCAATTCGACTTAGGGTCCTTTAAGAAAAGAACGTAATATTTCTTAAAATGCCGGCAACGCATTCGCGAGTTCTCTGGCATTGATGTTGTATCACTCAACATCTAGTGAGCCTTCTGACCCTTTGCCCCCTGTTCTATAAAAAAACCAGCTTCGAGGTAAGGATGGTTTTAATACATAAATATTTAAATTTTAATCATCCCTAATATAAATTTTTATCAGCCAAATGATGTGGTTGTTTGTTTTTTTGGTGTGGTTTTGCCTAATCATTCAAAACGCCGAGTTAAATACTTTTTCCGCGTTATACACATTTATAATTATGTCTTATTGATTTACTTACAGTAGGACAAGTGTGATAGCACGTAGAAAGTGTTGGGCGATGGTATGTATCATTTTTCTTTTCCTTCGGTATCATGATCAGTGGTACGAAGATTTTTACTGGACCTGCGTTCTTTATTAAACGTCTCCTTGTGTTAAACGGATCCATTTCTTTCACAGGCAAATCAAATACATGGGTAGCAGCGAAGAAGCTATCTATACTTTCATTGACATTATCTGTACCTAACATACCACCATTGATTATAACTAAGTTCTTTATATCATTTATTTCGTTTTCTCTATTAACTATATCATTAATTTGGTTTTTTCTTTTATCAATATCTTTAATTTGTTTCTCTATATGTGCGGATTCACAAATGAATAGTTCTGTCTCTGTATATTTTTTATTATTATTGCAGTTGTGTTTATTCAGCTCGCATCTATTTGGAAATCTTTTTACTCTGTACCCTTCTCCTTCTTCCCGTATGGCGCAAATTTCTGTATTATTACACATTAAATTTACATCGCATTGGTGATTGTCGACAGTCAATTGTTTTATATGCAATTCGTTCAGCGAGTTATTTGGTAAGGCATTTGAACAATATTCCATATTTATAACTCCATATGCTGTAAAATTATTAATATTATAATCTATATTTAAAGTTTACTGTTAATGTCCAATCCAACCAATCATTTTTATACTACAACATAAGATGCATTATCGTGTGTGTAAATATCGTAGATCGGAGATCTCTAGCCGGTGTTATGTTCTTATACAAATTGTAAAATGGTCAAATAAAAACAAACAATAAAAAAAAGGGTGCGTGTACTTATGTACGCGCGTAAGAACTTCTTTGGCATTATTAAAAATAGTTTTTGATTGCATGCAAATAATTAATTACAATTAAATAATCAAAGACTGGAAAAGGAGTCATTATAGTCAATAAAGTTCAGTTTACATTTGAAAAATTAAATAAATAAATATTTACTATTATTCTCTTACATTAAGTGTAACATAAATTCTATTATTATTCGAATGTTGTTTTTAAATTATGTCCAATGCCGTAGCATCTTCCGTGGGCAACTTCATTCTGTTAATTTTGTGTCACGATGCGCGCGCATCGTAGAATTTCACTCTCATCAATTTTTCATAACGCGCCTAAAGAAGTATAACTTCAATATGTTTATTATGGAATACAGGTATCATTTATTGATTATTAATATTCTGTATTAATTATAATACCTTCTTCCATATATTAATACAGAACATTAACATTGACGTCCTTCGTCGACGTTCCAACGTTGATCCTAGGCGATCAGGCACCTCGCATTATTCGCGAATATAACAGAATAAACACTACATATCCAGAGTTTGCCATATTTGGCAGTAGGCTGATCAATTTTAAAAAATAATTGTTAAGTGCCTATCTGATACCTAATCCGCTGTTGGTTGTGTTACCAATGACAGATAGATAAGTATAAATTTACTAGTAAAATCTAAAACTAGAAGTATAATGTTTTTATTATTTTAATTTTTTGTAACATAAAGTTTACCACAATTCGTAGTCGTGTATTATAGAAAAGATAGCTTGTAACATATACTGTAGATATAGCATTATATCAACTTGTGGTCTGATCTTAGTCAAAAGTCAAAGTCAAAATCATTTATTCATATAGGTAACACAATGTGCACTTATGAATATAAAAAAAAATATATATGAAATGCTTCGAATTTTACGTTTCATGCCAGTTCTCAAATCAAGTCAATCTCTATTTTTAATCGCCAAGTTTTTTGTTTTTCACAACGTTTGTAAGGAGCCATTACACCATGTTCCACATGACATCTTAAGTAATTAATATCTAATAATAAAAAAATAAAAATAAAGATACCTTAGGTTTCCTTACAACGATTACTGTCACCGTTACAGCACGTTCCAATAGCGCACATAAAATAATATTTATTGGTTAACAGCTAGGGTTTAAACGCACGAACTTATGGGACCCCAGATATTATAATATAATAATATATATTATATAATACTAGCTGACCTAGCAAACGTCGTTTTGCCATGTATATCATTTATAATAAAAGTAGGGGTTGATCGTAGAGGGGTGATAATTAGGGGTTGTATGTATTTTTTAATGCTGTATCATAAATGTTTTTTATCTAAAATTAAAAATTTAGGGGCTGACTACCCTTAACATTTAGGGGGGATGAAAAATAGATGTTGTCCGATTCTCAGACATACCCAATATGCACACAAAATTTCATGAGAATCGGTCAAGCCGTTTCGGAGGAGTTTAACTACAAACACCGCGACACGAGAATTTTATATATTAGATATATTATATATAATAATTATATATATAATAATAAAAGGCCATTATTTACAGACAACTGTTACATTACAATTATGTGTTTTTTCCTTTTTACACTTGATAATACAATACAATGTAAATAGGCTGTTACCGTCGCCTACCCGTCGCTTTTCAAAAGGATTCCGACGGGATTGTATAAACGCCAAATCTATAATGATACTGGTAGATGAACAAAAGCAATAAAAACGTTATTCCTTTTTTTATTTACGAATATTTAGTTGTGTTAGTTTATGTTCAAAAAAATTTAGTATTTGAATCTACATACGATTTATATTAATTTTAATCAACAAATAACATTCGTGCAGACCAAATAATATTTTTTATTTCTTTTTTCCTTTCGAAATGAAACCATAAACAGTAATAAATTAAACAATAAACTAACCGGATTTTAACTTAACTCTTTGTTTGAGGCTGGATGTCAACTGGCTAACTAACAACAAAAAACTAACTTGACTTATGTTATGGGTTCGTAAATCTAAGTGACACTTATGTTACTGTACATTATCGGGAACAAGTATGATGCATTACAATTTATGAATGTTGGAAAAACTTAATGGAACATTTAATACCTACTAAACTAACGTATTACAATTTATTGGCAACAAGTGTAAGATGATTGCTAACATTTGGTTTGCGCCTCTAATTATTAAAATAAATAAATCAGTGGCGCTACAACCTTTATTTTTAGGTCTGGCCCTCAGATTTCTATATCTGTTTTATGATCATTTTTTAAAGCAATTAGGTATCAGCCTCCTGTGCCTGACACACGCCGTCGACTTTATCGGTCTAAGGCAAGCCGGTTTCCCCACGATGTTTTCCTTCACCGTTCGAGTGAATATTAAATGCACACATAGAAAGAAGTTCCATTGGTGTATAGCCGTGGACCGAACCCACGACCTCAGTGAAAAGAGTCGCACGCTGAAGCCTCTAGACCAACACTGCTCTTCTAATTACATATTAACTAAAACATATATGTGTAACTTAATTAATATTAGGTTACAAAATTTCTGACATATTTCTTTGTATAGAAGAGGGGGCGGTAGGAGGCTCATCTGATGTTAAGTGATATGGACTCTTAATACCAGAGGACTCGCGAGTGCGTTGCCGACAGTAGTAACATCGCCCACGGACACTCAAGGTAAGAAAGCTTGTGAGTGCGTTGCCTGTATAAATATATCTGCTCCACTACGAACTGTGCCCTCAGTTACCCATGCTATTTTCGTAGTGTTATAATGATTCACTCACTCATAACATAAAAATAATTTAAATATTCAACTCAAAAGTTCTTGAAACGTGAACAAACAATTGAAGATCGTCTTTGCTTATTGATAGCGCTAAAGACGATTTTCGTGTGTCCAAAATTTATCGGATTTGTCAAATCACTTAGCGGTAAGTCTAGACTCTCGAGATGTTTATTCAAATAAAATTTAATATTTCACTGCATAACGGTTCAGAGATTTTCCTTGCGTATTTATTAGATTTACCTGGAGCATCGACAAGGGAACTCAATTAATAATTGAAGTGCATGAAGCGTTAAATAAAGTTTGGAAAATCCAAAAGTGCACGCCTCATAGCGATCATTCACATTTTTTTTTAAAAATCTAAAACAAAAACTCAAGTTTTTTAAAACAAAATAACAAATAAATTATTAGTATAAATAGGCAAGAATTGAAAAAAAAACAATAATATAATAAAAAATATATAGTGGCGCCATAACTCTAAGGTGAGGAAAAAATATACTAAAAAAAATGTATATATAGATATACAAATACACAGTCGTATTTTAGTTTTTTACAAATTATAATTAAACGACAGTACTTAGAACGCTAATATTAACTAGGAATCAGCCCAGGGTATAACTTTATATAATAAGAAAAAAAGTATTCTGGTACGATAAATTTTTCGACCAATTTCTCTGCCTACATGGATGGATCCATAAACACAGACTGACGGGCGTCCAAGAATGATTGATTTTAATGTTATTATTTACTATGTTAAACAAAATAATTGTTAATAAAAAATACCAAATCTGCTCGATAGATTATTTAACTCGATTTTAGTGCACTCATATTATCCTGTAAGTGTTATATTAGTGAGAAAAAAGTCATTAAAGTTTCGAAAGACTGGGTTTTTTGACATGTCGAGAGTAGAGCACTGCCTCCGCTCCGCTAATGAGGCGTGCAAATGATCATATTATGACGTAATGTGTCTATCATTTTCTGAAAAAGATTTAAAAACTCCTACACACGTGAACATCCTTTGATAACAAATAAATATTTCTATAATAAAAGTCTACAAGCCGTGGGCAGATTTAGCGTAAGTAAATATTTTATTAGATATTCAGGTTGCTTGTGGCACATTTCTATTTCTGTTACATTCATAATTTTGTGGCGAGTGAACAGCGGTCCGATAAATCCGAAACTATTTTATTTATAAACGGTCCAAGTTTACGCCACGTTTAGCATTTAGCTGTAAAGGTTTTTAAGTAAATAATAAACATTAGTAACAGAATAAGCTAGTAAAATGATTATTTATTTATTTTAATATTAATTATGGTATCGGCCTAGCTTCGAGCAGTGTTGTAATAGGGGCTTCAGCGTGCGACTCTCATCCCTGAGGTCGTAGGTTCGATCCCCGGCCGTGCACCAATGGTCTTTCTTTCTATGTGCGCATTGAACATTAGTGAACGGTGAAGGAAAACATCGTGAGGAAACCGGCTTGCCTTAGACCCAAAAAAGTCGACGGCGTGCGTCAGGCCGTCGGCCTATACAATAATTATGGCTAATAAGTAATATTATGTTGACTTAAGTTTCTACAATACTAATAAATAGCTAAATAGCCTGTTTAAGTGAGCTAAATATTAAAGATATTTAATTAGGCCATTATATATATATAAATTTATATAAATCAAAATACAAATTATTCTGAAGACTTGTTGCTCCAAAGCTCTTATCTCGATAACATTAGCCGATAAAAGCTTTTGTTATTCTCTATTATATTCTATCTATATTCTGTGAAATCTTCAATATTGTTTTTCTCGTTTATGATTTCTAAGAAGCCGCCCTAATTAGTCTGAGTGTCTACGTTTATTTTACAATTTATATACTATTATTATGTTTTATTGTATATAAAAGATTTTTTAAATATATATATATTAACTCAAATGAGTTGCAAAAATATTTATTTTATGAAACAACATTTAGAGTTTGCTATTTCAGTTGAAAATCACTTTTATCCTATTTCTTTTATAATGAATTAAAAATTTACTCACAACAAACACTTCGTATTCAAAAATAAAAATGACATATGTACATAGTCAAACAAAACTAATGTCTTTTCCACAGACTAACATACAAAACAAAATGAACATTTATAAAACAAAATAGATAATGAATAATCTAATTTAAGAAATATAATTATTTATTTACATATATATCTAATAATTAGTGCGCAAAAGTTTACTGTCTACTTAAAAATTAAAATTAAAATTTTGTTGTTATAGTAGAGTAGTAGTGGCGCTACAACCTCTTTTAGGTCTGAGCCTCAGATTTCTGACGCTGTTTCATGATCATTTTTCAATCGAATAGGCAAGTAGGTGAGTAGCCTCCAGTGCCTGACACACGCCGTCGACTTTTTGGGTCTAAGACATGTCGGTTTCCTCACGATGTTTTCCTTCACCGTTCGAGCGAATGTTAAATGCACACGTAGAAAGAAAGCCCTATCGATCCTACGACCTCAGGGATGAGAGTCCACCCTGAAGCCACTGGGCCAACACTGCTCTACAACTTAAACACTATAAAAAAAACATACGAGGTTTTTTGGCAAAATCATTACTTTTTTCACCATATTTGTAATATGCATAATATTTAAAAGTAATTCGCAAGATATGCTTTGACTTAAGTTTCTGAAGTATTTCAACGGAGACAAAGTTCTATGCTAAAGCTCTAGCTCCAGCTTAAAGTTTACAAAAGTTGTTGGTATGTTACCGAGCTAAATAATTCAGTCAATTCAGTTCGGTGTATAGGGAAGTATTCAAACCCTCATGCGACTCCTTTAAAGATGAAAGATCCATAACTTTGTACGCTTATATCGAATATACTCAAAAAGTACTGGACTGGTTTGAAAATTCTATACCTGAGTAACATATTATATAGTATATATATATCCTGATTTAAAAAAAAACCATACCATGGCCGTTACAGGTGCTTGTTGTATAAACAATATATTTTTGAAGTGAAACTTCTATAGGCGCATGAGGGTAAACTTTTACGAAATCGTCACGAAGATGTGCAGCGTTTTAGTCGAAGAAAAGGGAGAGAGCGATTTAGACCAATGGAGAGAAAGTGAGAAGGGTAAATTTATAGAAATTCTATTTTTAAAATTAAAATTTCGTAAAGAGAATTTATGAAATATTGGTATTTATTTAATAAAACACTATTTTGACCGGATTGAAGTTATGTATTATTATAAATTTACAACTATTTAACATAATTTTAAATTTATCCGCGTTCAGCGTGCGTGGTCACCGTGACCACGCACGCTGTAAAGCACGCGAAACGTCGGATAAATTTAAAATTATGTTAAATAGTTGTAAATTTATAATAATACATAACTTCAATCCGGTCAAAATAGTGTTTTATTAAATGAATAAAAGTTATGTTAATCAAAGACAATACAATATTGGTATTTTATATTTTATGCAAAATAATTTATTGAAATCTCAAATGACGAATTGTAAATTAAAAAGCCACGTGTTTTTATTATCGAAGAAATAAATGTATTAATTTTCGACACTTAATGACAATTAAATTCATTTAATTCCTAAATTATCTTCCTTTTCCCTCCCTCTAAGTCTCGGAAATCTAAAGCTTTAGATTTGTATAAATATGAAAAAGACTTAACAATTAGTTTGCCAATGAAGTTTCACTTCTGACCTACCTATAGTGTACTTTTTTTTAAATTTAATACAGATTAAAATTTGTACAACTAAGTATGAGTAACGTATAAAGCATTTTAATCTTCAAAGCGATTCTAGTTAGCTAAGAGACATGAGTACGCCGTATGTTACAACGGAAACAGGAAGTTGTAGAGTTAATTTACCTAGTATTACTAATTAGTCGTAGCTGGTTCTATGTATTTGTGATCCACCTCAATGGGATTAACGTTTCCATTATATTAAAATATGTCTGGAATACTGTTTTAATTAGATACGTATTTGTAATAATGATAAGTTAATAAAAATATTATTAAATATTTTTTTTATATATATGGGGGTAACGAGCCTACGCGACGCCCGAAAAGGGCAGCCATCGCAGCCTATGTACACCAATTTTTAGTGGGTGCGTTGCCGGCCTTTGAGGGAGAAATACACTCTATCATTGAACAGTTGGAGGTCAAATCTCTTAGGAAAGAGTCGGAGTCGAATCCACACATAGATCGTAAAAAAAAGTGCCTTGTGGAACGGACCGTGGAAGACTTCCAGCCAAGGTGATGATGATGAAATTTTCAATTGATACAGCTCGTACGGTGTTGAAACGAGGCAGGAGGGATCAACCCAAACAATTCTTCAGAACACTCACCATAGTACACTTTGTAGGAAACGCAAAGAGACGCATTGTCTCTGCGTAGGGAGAGAGAATCAAGCCGATCAGTAATACATAGGAGATTGACAATTCGACAAGCCCTTTGCTGAATTTGACCAAAAGGAAGAAGCTGGTATTTGAAAGCACCAGCCCAGATATGTGAGCAGTATTCTATATGAGGTCGTACTTGAGCCTAATTAATACTTAGCCTATCATCTAATATTATATGATTTGAAAATGTATTTTACAATAAATGAATACTATTTGAATATATTATAGAAATAAGATTTTATTTAGCGTATAACTATATAGAATACAGTCGTCATAGTTGTAGAATAGTGACGGATCTGACAAATAGTAAACTTTACAGGGCAGCCATTTCAAAATAATATAATCATGTTAGTTTTTGTCATAACTATTTTAATTCATTTTCTGTTACTAAGAAAGTTGGCATACAAGCAAACTAAAGGGTTTGTTTTGAAACAAAATAAAAATAATAACATTTAATTACACAGTTTTCTAGGAAAATCACATTTTATATCTATCAAATCCGTCACTTTACCGACTGATTAATTTGAAATTTAAAACACAGATTTTTTTAATGTAGCCGTAATATTCAGTCAATGTAGTATCTAAATATGATATAAAGTGGATTTTGGATATTTTCTACGATCATGACGCAGTGTTACCTCGACAAACGAGTTTAATTCGTTCTGTAACCTTGCTGGTATCTCATAGGAATTTTCCCCATTGAAATGTCATGAATCCGTTCCAGCACCCAAAACACCACCATTTGTTTTTAAGTGCTTTTGAATAAGAAAACGATTTCACGCTTTTAATCAATGGACATGTTCTTCTTCGGAACCATGGTTATAAAAATAAAAGTGATTTTTTGTAAATTTACAAAAAAAAATGTTTCGAAAACGAGGGAAACAATTAAACAGAGAGGTCTAGTCTAGTGGGAGAAACTGTTAGTGTAATGTGCGATTCCTCCCATCTGAAATCTTGCTCCCATGTCAAAGCAAAATATCGCTGGCTCGGCTGCTAGTATCTCAAAGCCCTAGTATATTAGGGCACTTGTATATCGAGGTACCACTGTAGTACACTTCGCAAGTCAAATTGAAAATTCAATCAATGGTTTCACATTTCGAGTGCATGGTCAGCGACACAATATATTATATTCCCTGCAATCGAACCCGAGACATTCAATATTAGTTAAACCGAAAGAGTGATTACATCTGTATTTAACAATTAGCCATCAATATTTATTTTTATTTTTTTTTATAGGACAATTCACACCAATTGACCTAGTCCCATGTTAAGCTGGTGAAGCTTGTGTTATGGGTACTAGGCAACGGATATACATACATATTATAGATAGATAGACATATAAATACATATTTTTAAACACCCAAGACCTAAGCACAACACCAAATGCTCATATAAAAAAATGTTATTAATGAATGCGCTAATTACCTAATTGTTGGGACGTCCGCAGAGCTGGCGGAAAATAATAAAAGGCTCAAATATAAGAGTCTTTCCTTCAACTTTGATTTTGTTCCCTTTGGAAGTAATCTTGGGCCGTGGGGTTCAAGTGCACAGGTGCTAATTAAAGATTTAAGTTGGCGACTGGTAGATAGCACCGGTGACCTAGGTAGAGCTGGTGCTTACCTCGCTCAACGAATAAGTATCGCAAAAAAGGGATCAAACTTTTTAAATTTGTTTTAATTTTCTGTTTTTAATTTTTATTATTACTATGTAGGTTAAGAAAATTGTAAATATTGTATATTTGATTGTTATGATTACGAATAAAGAAATATATTGTTGCAATGGTGTTCATTTGTTCGGGTTCCATGTGACATTTCTTTAAAGGAATAAGGTCGTAATTTTATATCGTAGTATAAATGTGCTTGTACACTGTAAATTCACATAATAAGGTGCTCAGTAAAAATATTAATATACTAGCTGACCTGACAAACGTCGTTTTGCCATGTATAATATATCATATATATCATTTATAATAAAAAAATAGGGGTTGATCGCAGAGGCGTGAAAATTAGGGGTTGTATGTATTTTTTAATGCTGTATCATAAAAAAATAAATGAAAAGAATTTTTTTATCTAAAAATTAAAATATAATAATTTAGGAGTGGACTACCCTTAATATTTAGGGGGATGAAAAATAGATGACGTCCGATTCTCAGACATACCCAATATGCACACAAAAATTCATGAGAATCGGTCAAGCCGCTTCGGAGGAGTTTAACTACAAACACCGCGACACGAGAATTTTATATATTAGATTATCCTACCTTGGTCCTCGGTAACATTACATCCATAACGTAGTAAGTGGCACTCGTCTTCAAAGACCTTTAATCGGAAACCATCACCTTCCTCCCTCACCCCACAGACCCGTTCGCCTGTATATAAGCACTCGAGATTTCTGCAAAATAAAATTTTCTCAGAATCATAGCTTGCAAGTGATGAGGATAGAAATAGAATAAAACGATACATGGAATTGAATTTTCTGCTTGAATGGCATTTACAATTTATGTTTGAATGCAATATTTAATTATAAGATGTTTACATCTCTGCGTAAAATTTAAATAATTTGTATTTATGAATATATGTATAAATAATGTAATTAAGTTTTACGCGAAATAATGTATTACAATTCGAATATTATAGAACTGAACCCTATATAATATAAATGTAGTTTATTAGAAAAAATCTAAAAGCAAATGACTCCAGGCTTTACTCTAAGCAATATTTCTTTCTAATTGCTGGATAATACATATAATATTTTTTATTTATATAATTTAATGAAAAAAACAATTCCTTTAATCTAAATCTAGTTAAGATTTCATACTCCAAAATTACTTTCAAAAATTTGGTCACGATAATTTTCCCCATTGGCTATAAAACTCCCTCAATTTTGAGAGAATTTCTCCTAGTCTGGCATCATTGCGCACAGACTTGACACTGGTTTTTGACGACTTGTCTGGAGAGGTTGTTAAATAAAAATCACATGACATTTAATTTAACGCCAACTGTCAAAAAAAATGCTATTTGTCAATAATTGTTGTTGCAATTAATGTTGCTCAGCTACCGAGTCAGCTGTCAGTAGTCTTTTTTTTTTTTTTTTTTAATTTATTTATTAGCCGGATACAAAGTCCATTGGCACTGTCAGTAGTCAGTACCCCAGTGTTGCCTGATCAGAGGATTTCCCCCTAGATTTAGGGGGTTTTCAACCAAGTTAGGAGCAGAATAATTAGGGGGGGAATGAATATTTGGGGGTTTTTTAGGGGAAATTTCAAAAAAGACGCTAAATACAGATTTTTGGTATTGTATATCACGTTCTTGACTTTGGAACTAAATTAAAGTACGAACACATCGTAAGAATAGGATCCGTGTGGCTAATCTTACTAATTGTAAATTCGTTTGGGCTATCAAAGACGATGTGATTTTAATTAAATACAAATTCTGAAATGACACGAAATTCAGTAATAATACTAAACAAGAATTATTATTTTTTGTGTTTGAAGGCATCCTAAGATTCTCAGGGGATTTCTGGGGGGAAATCCAATTAGGGGTACGTCGCGGAGACCATCTGGCAACACTTTTATTTGTAGCGGAGGCCGGAGCCCGGAGGTTATGTTTTGGCCTTTGGGCAGAGGAAGGTGGTGTGTAAAAATTTAAGGAAATTATTTAACAATATTAAAAGACCTCAGAAGAAGACAGGGAATGTACATTACGACCTTGATTAATTAAATAACTGTGTGTTCAATTATTGCATTGCATAATATATTGTCCAAAATTTGATTTAAATTAAGTGATGTAATTATATAGAAAATGTCTTCTAAAACAGATTCAATAAAACCAAAAACGGTCCGAGTCTTTGATTTAGACGATTACGAAAAGCTACTTAAAGGCATACAGATAGCATCATGCATGATAACGGAGTCACACCAAATTGGTAAGGGATTATCTTATAAGCACTTCATAGTCCATATGGTGAATGATTAATCTATTGAGTATTAATTATATATGTAACTATTGATTTTTATTTCATTTAAGTATACTTTCCTGAGAGACAGGGTATGATTCACAGTCAAGATTTATACTAAGTGTATAAGTCTATGTCTAATCTGAGGGTCAAAGTTTGGTTTTGTATTCGTTTTTAGCGTAAGAAAGAAATATAACTAATAATATAATTGCGTAAATGATTTTGGAAACAATTATGAGTCACCAGTGATAATATCAATTATTGATAAATGTTATGAAATTTTCAGTTGATGAACAGAGTGTTTTAAAGCGTCTCAATGCCTTAACTATTAATGGAGCTAGTGATGGGAACTGTTGTTCATGTTGTGGCGTGGGTCCATTTGAGACAAGAGCCCAGCAGACTGCACATTATAAACATCACTGGCATACACATAACTTGAAAAGGAAGTTATTTGGAAAGTCTGCATTGTCACTCGGACAGTTTAATTCACGGCAAGGTAGAGTTACTGATTATCAAAACATAAATAAGTAGATACACATAATAATAATTTAAAAAAATGTGTGTGCATACAAAGTACACATGTCAGAAGTGAAACTTCTTTGGCAAACTAATTTTTAAGTCTTGTTCAAACAAATCTAAAACTTAAGATTTCCGAGACTTAGAGGGAGAAAAAAGGAAGATATTTTAGGAATTTAATTGTCATGAAAATAGTGTAGAAAATTGATTCAAATTAAAATTTAATTTTTTTTCTTCGATATTAAAAACATGTAGCATTTTAAATTACAGTTTGTTAGATACTTCATAAGAACATGTAATTCTATACTATATACCAAATAACACTGGACATTGTATTTAATGAGTTTATAAAATTTACTATAGATGACTCCAGTGTATCAGGCAGTGATTCCGAAACTGAAAGTACAAACTCAAAACCAGCTAGTGATCTGTTTGCAGCAGCAACAAGGCATTGTAAAGCATTTTTTACCAACAAAGCTGGTCAAGTTTACTGTGTATATCGATGTATATTGCATCATAAAAAGGTTGGTCAACTTTACATTTAGGTTTTGCAAGCATTTATCTACTTTATAATATTGTCTTTAATGCAAATATTTTTTTGGGTTAGCAATTATTCTATTATTCTAGTCTGATCACTGATGCTGTTTGAATGTATCTGTGAAGTATAGACCAACATAATTTCAGGAACAAACTAAACTATGTTGTGTACCTCTTTTTTACATAAAGATGTTGTGTGCACTCACTCACACTCCGCTGGCTCTGCAATGAGATACTTCCAGCGCTCTCTGTGCCACCAGGCTTACAACAGTATTGTATATACGAATTTTCTTGCTTCTGCTTAGAACCTTAGATACTAAGACCTGCCACAAGGTCAGAATCGGCACTGAATCGCATGGTATTTTGAATGCCAATGTCAATTGCGTCTTCTCTACTGTTGTCATCTTTTACGGTGCAACCCAAATACCGAAATTTAACAGTTCCTTTATATGTAGTATTCTTGTATCGTTTCATGTGGAGATTCGGTTTTTTCTTGGTTGATCCTAAGTCCTTTGCGCGCTTCTACTTCCAACACTAGCGATCTCCCGGTTTCTCCACCGTTATCTCCTAAAAGAGCTTGATCGTCATGCATACGATAACGAGAGCCCACCACCTTATGAACACCACCTAGTTTTACTCCTTGTGACGAGGCTTTCGTTAAGACGTGTTCTAAAACCAAGTTAAGGAGCACCGGCGATAGTGCGTCCCCTTAGTAAAGTCCAGAGATAACTCACCCCAAACTATCACTTGCATTTTGCTTTCTGATGTGGCTACCATCAAGATCCTTACTAAGTATTTGTATGTGGAATCCCCTCAGGATGTTGTATATCGCGTTTCTATCAATGCTATCATAGGCAGTCAATGTCTTGGAGAAGTCAACTAACAACGAATGAACGCTTTGGGCGTAATCCCATTTTTAGTTATTAAACATCTATAGCCGCACGTAAAACCGATTTCTGCCGTGGCGACGCGTCGCCACGCTATATGATGGTTTATATATACAGTCTATAAAAATGTGAGGTGGGTCAAGCTATATTGAACTTTAACCCACCTATGTAAGGTGCGAAGGTAATAATTTTCTTTCGTATCTTGATTCAAGGAAAAAAAGTTCCTAACACGTAGATATTCTGGGCTATTTTAACACGTGGATTTTAACGAATATAACTATTACCGAAGTCACTGATTAAACAAATTAAGTAGTCACGATTTGATATAAATTCGTAAATTTTAGTATTTAATGAAAATAAATGTTTATTCAATAAATAGTCATCGTTATCTTGAAAAAAATCTTAATATTTTATTTTATCATTATGACGTATTTAGTTCCTATCACAATCTGTTCTTTTCTGCATATTACTGCCAGGCGTCCCGTGACGGCTCACATTTTTTTCATGATCTGATATTTTATTACTTATCCTAAATGTATTTTAAATAGACAGCTACTATTGCTCAATAAATATAATTATATTATATTGGGTTTATCAGAGAGGTTCTAAAAATTGCAGAACAAAGCACACCTTTTGATAACACTGGAATAAAATTTATTATAGGAAGATTTGTCAACTGATGGCGAAGGCTATGCCTGGATAGAGCGGTGTCAACGCCTAACAATACCAGGATACCAGCGCTGGGCCGTATTGATGGTATCTGGTGGACATTTTGCTGGGGCTATCTTCTCTGCGGCTGTTCCAGTGGTCCATAAAACACACCATTCGTATGTTACTAGACGTGGTCAGGGTCAAGCACAAAGTGCTCGAGATCAGCATGGGAATATGCCTAGATCTGCTGGAGCAAGTTTGAGGCGGTATAATCAAGCCCAGTTCTTGGAGGTATATTCTTTGTCTCTTATTTAAATTGTATGATAACATATCTTATTGCCTACCTTATAATTATTTCTTTATCAGATGAAAATTGATAATAGTAATATGATCCTAGCTACATTTAGTTCTTTCTACAGAACAAATTTAAAACTTAAGCTTTGAAACCTCACTCCCCCATATCAACATATATTGTGAAATTCATAAGTTTCGCATTTCAGCATGTGCAAGAAATAATAGCGAGCTGGTCAGAAGACCTAATAGGTTGTTCTCTAGTCCTATACAGGGCTGTGGGCTCAACTAATCAAGCAGCGTTATTTGGCAAGAACTCACCGCTTAAAAGAGAGGACCTAAGGGTTCGGGCTTTGCCCTTCCCAACTCGGAAACCAACATATAAAGAGGTCAAGAGAGTCCACGATACAGTTGCCAGTATTGAGGTGTATGGTAAGTTGTACTGTGTATAAATTTTTCTAACGATATATGACATGACACTGTTTAAATCTATTAATATATAAAACAAAGTCGTGTTAGTTACACCACTTATAACTCAAGATCGGCTGGACCGATGTTAGGACTCCCACACAAAACTGCGATGCGATGCGATGCGAATTCGCATCGCAGAAATTTGCGATGCGAATTTCTGCGATACGATTTAGTGCGGCAAACCGTTTGGTAGGGCGACCATTCCTTCGTAGTCAGCCGTACTGGACGTGTTTTTAGGTAGTGTAAGATGGATCGCAAAAGATTATTGCACTGCTGTTATTGTTAAATAGATATAAAAGAAAAAGAAGATTCTGGGTTCATCCATTTATTTCGATTATGAACTCTGATGCAAACTTTCACAGACCCTCTTCCACGCATCTTGCTTAATAAATTTATTTTTATAATGTTCATCACTTGTGTCCCAAAAGACGGGACGCTCCTCAATTAAAAATATTAAAAAATCCATATAATATTCCGCAATTTTTTATAAACAAAGAAGGCGGTGGAGGAGCCGCGCGAATTCTCTAAAGCTGTCTCAGAGCGGACTAAAATGGCGTCACCAAGGATAACGTAATATCGCAAGAATGTGCGATGCAAAGCAGATAGGAACTTCTTGCGGTGCGTTCGTGCGAATTCGCAGATATTTGCGATGCGATGCGAATTCGCAGTTTTGTGTGGGAGCCCTTAGGTATCTCTTTTTTGGTGGATTCTTCTCCGCTCCGAATAGCAGAATAAGTAATAAAATATCGGATAGGTTATCGAATAACAATAAATAAGTAAAATAATTTTACGAATGCAAACACCATGTGGTGTCATACTTTGACAAAACTACGCAACATTTTACGTCGAATTCGTGTCAGTTCAAGAAATTCCGATCTTAAGGTAAATGAGGAGATGCATAATCAGGCTTTGATCTTGATCGAAGACATGTGTTACCTCATCAAAAAATGTTGTATATCAGAAAGTGCATTAACATGCAGTATCGCAATATTGGCGCTAGAGAGAAGAGGCCTAACGTGTAAAACTATTATTCTTCTTTCGCAATGGCAAAAACATATCTGTATTTGCATAAAAAGTTGTATTAATGTTATTACCTTAATGAAATCCTAAAATAAGTTTAACTAAAGTAACAACGATATTATTAGACTGTAAGGCGGAATGAAGTTAGCCGGGTCAGCTAGTATAACATATACTATATTGTTGTTGGATAATATCAAAGATTTAAAAAAAAAACACAAGATATGAGGTACATATTGAAAAATTACCTTTAAAATAATAGTTAAGTAGAAATTCTACCACAATGTTATTTTAATGTGAATATAAGTATTGTTGTATTAATTATATATAAAATACACTTTCCAGAGACCATGGAATTGTTCCAAAAGGCGCTTATAGCGGCGTCCGGCAAAACTTCAAAGACGACCGACTCGACAGTTACCAAAAAGCCGCAAAAAAGTCCGGGAAAGCCCATAGATAGGGCGAAATCGAGGGAACGAATTCCTCGGGAGCTTCCAACTCAGATGATGTCTAGTGAAGACGAAGGTCCGTGTTTCATTGATTCAGAAACTCCAGTAGGTATGAAATTTGCTTTTTTGATCGGTGATGGTGTGGTCTCGTTTAAATTTTTTATTTTATTTGTTTTTATTTTGAAAATCACTTTCAGTACTAATTTAAGTAACGCCTTTAATAGATTATTTTTTTCGTTAATTTATATTATAGAAAATATGCAGTCTTTTTTTTTTCATATTGGATGTATGTATTTATGTGGCTTAAGCATTTAATATAATATTGGTATTATTCTCGTTAAAAAAATAATACAAAACGCCGAAAAATAATCGCTTTTTGGTAAAAAAATAAAAAAATATTTTAGTAGCGACACCATAAATAATATAGTTTTGTTTGAGCTTCGTAGCAATTGTGTTAAGGTTATCAATTCGACTATTACGAGATTAGATCAATGTCACATCGATTCATTTTTGTATAGGCTGGATAAAAGCGCTATCGGAACAAAGCTCGAAAGGTATTCTAACGAATTCTCGTAAGGACCTGCTTATTGACAACAATTCAATCAGTGCGCGCAGCTCCTGCAGCGAACAAGGCATATTGGAAGAAAAGAAGACAAAGAAGAAAAAGAAAAAGAAACCAGAGGAGAAACAAGAGAAGCTGAAAAAAATTGAAGTTAAAATTCCAGCGAATGTTAAAAAGGTTTGCACTAACTCATAAAATATATTCTTTACATTTCATACTTTTACGAATACACAATAGAAAGTTTGAAAGCGTTTAATATTCGTAAAATTCAATCCATATATATTTTATTCATTCGTCAAAAAACTCCTTTATATTTAGATTTACTCCAATCAACGTAGAAAACAAGACCATTTTTTTTACATAATATTTGTGAGAAACCATACACCATCATGCTCCTTATTACATCTTAAAGTACTAATTAATTATGATTCTAAAAAAATATACAAGAAAAACAATTGTATCCCTATCAGCAATAGGCATGGTGAAAGTAGCATGTACATATGTTACTGGGAACGACACGCAAATACATAGTATCAAGGTGAATGAAAGCTGAAAATAATTAATATATATGTATATTTATATACCCAGATTCAGGTCCAACCAGTAATAAGTAGTATGCATGCTCATGTATGTATGATTGCTCGCCATTTTCCAATCCAATTCCAATTATTACCTGTATTGTGTCATATTGTCTGCCATCAGTTACAAGGTGTCAAACAAAAAATATGGTTCTCATTTTATTTCCTTTTACTCAATTAAAACATGCACATCATTCTTTAACGAAAAAAAAAACTTGATGAGGATTTTTTAAACACTATTTTAATTTAAGATGTGGAAAGCAATATCTGGCAATGAACAGAATTCACTAGAGACAATAATTGAGACTTGGGAAGGTGATTTAGAAGAGGCTTGTAACACTCAAGATCCGACTGATGGCAACACAGCCCTTCATAAGGCTGCGATCGCTGCCAAACCGGATATGGTTACGTAAGTTATCTAGCTGGTCTATTTTTGAGGCAAATTTTATATTTTAATAAAAGGATATATTATTTTCTTTGTTGTCAATTAACTGCTTTTCGTCTATAGACTACTGACGGGAAGAAATTTAATTTAATTATTTAAATGAAAGTAAAGAAAATAAAAGACTTTTTTCTTTATTTTTTTACTGGCAACTTAATGAACACGTTTCTTTGTAAAATTTCCTTTTATAGACAAATTGATCACCTAGATCAACCTTCTGCAAATATATTGAAATTAATAATTGAAAAATGCATAGCTGTGATTTGAATTCACGAATGTTACCTACATGAAAAATATACTTATGTATAGTACCTTTAGATTTTAATAGTAATATCTTTATAGATTTTATTTTGTATCAAAAATCTTTTAGTCAAATCCTGACAGCGGGTGGTGACCCGTGTATAAAGAATCATCAGCTTCAAACTCCATACGCGGCGACACCGCATCACGATACTCGAGTCGCATTCAGAATGTTCCAGGCTAATTATCCCGAGAAATATAATTATAATAAGGTATTTAATTATTTTTTATTTTAAGGTAACGTATATTTAACGTATACTAATATTTAAACAGTCAGTGCGCACGTCCGGCGCAGGCGCCGATCGGAAAGCAAGTAGCAACTCTAGCACTTCACGACCGATTCTACGCACTACTGACAAATTGACTTTGTCAATTGACACATTGACACTTTACAACCTGTATGTCTATGATATTGCGTGGTGTTGCCATTGCAATCAAACAAATTACATCGTGTTCTATTATAATCTAATCTCTAACATGTATATAAAATTGTTATATTTAATTTTTTAATTAAATTTGTACTATTTTCATGGACAATTGTAGAGCTGGGAAAAATATAGGTAGATTCTTGTAGAAATCTAAATCTAATCTATCTTGCGATACAAGTATAAAAAGGGATGGCTGTATAAGATTTCTTTGGTTTTTTATTATATATATTATGATAAAAAATCATACTTTGTGAGATTTCACCAATTATATTTTGAATAAATAAATAATAAAGGAATAATGCTATTAGATACAATATTACTGATTGACCTAGCGTGAACGTCTGTCAGTAGTGTTGGTCTTTTCATCAGAGTCCAATCTTATCGAATAGTTCTAATGGGGGCCTCATAGCCTAGCGGTCTTATTAAGTGGCAGCTAGATGAGGGGTACCGGGTTCGAGGGCAAGTTTTAATTTAAATTTGTTCTCGGCCTTTGGGAGGGTTGTGCGGTACCGGGCGAGTGCCAAAACCGTACATGGAGGACACGGTCGAATTTCTAAAGACAAGCACGAATTATAAAAAATCCTATACTTGACGCTGGCTAATGCACAAATCGTGCCAGAGCCATAAAAAAAAATTGTTCTAATATAATTTTATAATTTGCTATTTTTTCAGATAGCAGAGGTGCTCTTATTCGTTATCTTATATATAAAATTACTCCTCCGAAACGGCTTGACCGATTTTTATCAAATTTTATATGCATATTCAGTAGGTCTGAGAATCGGCTACTATCTACTTTTCATACCCGTAACATTTTATTTGTATTTTTTGGACGAATTTTTTTTTTATAATGAGGTATACAAAAATATATACAACCCTTAATTTTCACCCCTCTACGATCAACCCCTATTTTTATTGAACTAAAAAAATGATTCCTATAAATAATACACATGGCAAAACAACGTTTGCCGGGTCAGCTAGTGTAATATGAAAATATATCTTTCTTTATTTGCAGTCACAAATACCGGGTCCGTTAACACCTGAAATGTTAGAGATTGAGAAAGAGAAGAAGTTACAACAGAAACGCGCGAAGAGATTAAGAGAGAAAGAGAAACAAGTGGAGAAGAATAAGACTAATCACTTCTTACATTTAACGGACGCCCAGAAGGTATTTTGATATATTTTTTAAAATTATAAGTACATAGCTATACATTTCTGCTTGCTTAGAGTATCTGTATACTGTACGTTATAAAACTAAGAATACGAAGTACGAGGAATTAGAATTGTGTTTCAATGGAATTATTGAGTAAAATTTATATCATCTGTCAAAGTGTACATTTCGGTCCTTCGATCCGGATTTGAACGTGTGACCTATCGATCCATATCTTGTGTCCTCAATGTCCTCTTATATATATGTCGTAGCTGGATAGTTGAATTAATCACTTCATGATATGACCAACTATTTCATGAAAGACCAGGCCAAAAATAGGGGAAAATAATTTGAAAGGATTCTTTGAAAACAAATTTATCTGGCGTTTTGTTTTTTTTTCGATTAAACGTGATTATTTAATTGATAAGTATAATATTAATAATTTTCTTTTAGCGGTTTTCAATGTCTTAATAACTTAGGTTTTTTCATTCGTAAACGGTATCAGTTACGATAAAACTATTTCTGATGATTGCGCCATCTATGGTTAGCATTAGCTAACTCGACACACCGGCGACACCTTTTTTCAAATATTGTAACCCCAAGACCAAACCCAGTTTGGCGATATAAAATCAATTATTAGGTTCATTTTTGAGTTACACTGTCACGATAAATAAAAAAAATCGTCTGCTATACCCGCGACTTCGTCCGTATTAAGGGTTTATTGCGCACCGTTAACAAAATTAGTTCTTTGGCATAAGATTTAATTTCGTTGAGGTAATTCCTACCGCCGCTAATAAATGGACTGACCAGATAGCTCCTAAACAGGACTGCTATGGTTACATTAATACAAACAACAGTGGTTATAAATTAATAAATAATGCTATAATAAATAAATAAAATAATAATTGAATCCAAACTAATCATAACTATTTGTAAATACCGTGAAAATCCCTTTAGCAATTTTGGAGTATAACGTATACATTAAAAAAACAATGTTTTGTTTTATCGCTTTCCTTAGCGTATTTTTGGTCAAATGCATTAATGCGGTTTCTACTACTTTATTGGTATTTTTTGTCTAAAATATGATGATAGACTCAGGTTTTTTTGACAGGTCAAAGCTGAGATGCCAAGATGTTTCCTCTGTGCTTCGAATCTACCAAAAGTGCCGTTTGAGTATGACTCATACAAATTTTGTACAGTCAAGTGCCTTCAGAATCACAGAAATGTGCGACCTCTACATAAAAGTGCTTGAAAATATATATTTTTTAGAATTATGGGTTTTATTTGTGGTTAGGCTAAAACGAGACTAAAATAATAATCAAATAATAAGTACTACTATATACTTAGGATTATATTAAATCTATGCTATGTTTAACATTCAAATTAAAAATTATTTATTTAGGTAACACAATGTACACTTATGAACGTCAATAAACAAATACATATTAAATGCTTTTAATTTTACATTTACTGGCAGTTCTCAAATAAAGGGCTTAGACGAGAAGAACTGGCAATAAACTCTCCGCCACTATTTTTAATCACCTAGTTTTTTGTATTACACACCGTTTGTAAGGAGCTGGAACAATTACACCATGTTCCACATGACATCTTAAGTAATTTATAATAAAAAAAATTAAAAACAAAGATTTGTTCTCTACCAACAGTAGGCATGGTGAAATAGGAGCACGCATTGACATTCTCGTGGGAACCAAATCATAGTCGAAATAACTAACATCATCGCATACACGAATTCAAGTCCGACCAGTCACCACTAGTAGCACCCGTTCACGAGTATGACGCATGGCAGCCTTCGGCTCTTATTCAATAGTGTACGACTTCCTCCAAATTCTTCCACTCGTTTCTCACCATTTTTCCAATCCTTTTTCGCTATCCCTTTTATTTCATCTTCCCAGGTTTCTGGTGGGCGTCCTCTCGCTGTTCCCAAAATTTTATTTGTTCGAAGATATTTTTCTTTACTATTCCTATCGTACATTCCTTTTAGATCCTATCTGTAGACATTACCAATCCCTTTTCACCATATTTTTTGTCAAACGAGCAGCAATTATTATTATATGAGATTTCCAAAAAGTAATTGGACCCTTAAATTCTGAATACCTATGTTACAAGCTTGTCTTTACAGAATAAATTTAAAGAAATACACAAACAGACATTTACTTAGGAATAAGCTAATGTTAAAAAAACTTGTGTAGTTAAAAAATTAACTACAGTGATAATAAATAGAACTTTTGTCAGTTCACTCACACTTTTGCCAATCAAAAATAAAAAACAGCTAAGTTCGACATCTGTTCGACAAAAGAATTAAGATGTGACGATTCTGTAAGTTCGATTGGATTTTCACTTGTTTCACCTAAAATCTCTGCTGGGTAAAGTAAGTTAATTTAATATTTGGCATTTACGCGATACAAGGGTGCACACTTGGGAAGAACGATTACTATACTAACATTATCTATGGAAAAGCGGCACACTCAGTGCTAATTTGGAAATAATCGGAAGCTGAATTGTGTGTATGTACATTATGTGTGTTATTACTTATTAGCGTGTATTGACGTATACGAATACTTGACGAAGCTATCGTCATATTGCTAGTCTCGCATTAGGTAACATGTTATGTAAATAGCTTTCAAATTATTTACAGCAAATCAATCTAGCTACATCCCTTGTTTAAGTGTATACCGCCGCACATAGACACCCACAACACCAGGTTTGTAAGTGCGTTGCAGACCTGTAAGGTAGTGGTAAACTCTTCTCTTGAAGCCGTAGTCAAATATACCTGGAATACTGGTTTCACAAAGTGATGACGTGCGCAAGAAGTTTCTTAAAAGCGCTCTGTCGTGGAACCCCAGACGTCAAGGTGCATTGGGTGGAATTTTGCATTCCGTCTTGTCCCTTGATGAAATATAAGGCTACCTGCATCACGTTTTCATCTTAATTAGGTTATTGAGACTAAGGAGTAGGTACGTCCGAGTACGTATACTTGTGCAATATAATATCTCCTGCATATATTGCAAGACTACCGATAAGCCCCCGCAGCTGAGTTAAATATATAAAGGATTAGTAAATAGTCATATTATATATAAAAAAAAACGTTAAACTTAATAAAATATATGTATACATTTTCTTTTATTCAAAGTCGAGAAAAAATCGCTAGAAATGTTGTATATATACGGTTCCTGGGTCATCGGGATCTTTAACCCAGCAATGCCCAGTTTCTTTTTAAATTATTCATTTTGTATTTGTTGCAATCACCTCACTTAAAATAACATTAATAAAGAGAAAAGCAAGTTGTTTTAAAAAAAAATTGTTTATTTTGCGAAAAATCAAACGTGTCCATATGGACACGCTAAGCGTTAAGGTGTACACATTAAATTATACCATCTTCACTAATTTAAATAACAAACAGAAAAAGAAAAAAACAAGAAAGGACTTAGTTGTTTTTGTGGTAATCCCTAAAGTAGTCGACGCAAAGGCCAACAGTACATTTGCAGCAAGATGTTCGAACTGCGGAAGATTTAGTCTTGCAGTACGGACTCACACATCTCCTCTTTTTTCTGTTTTAGTAACAAAATGTTTCATTTTGTCAAAGCGCGAAGTGTTCGCTATCGCTGAACTAGAAGTACTAGATTTCCCTAGCACTTTGGGTAAAGAGTTATATTTGCTCCAATAATGTACCACAATCTTCCTTCTGAAATCAAGCTGTGCCACTTTAGCGCCTGCTTTCCGTTGTAGTTGCTAAGCGTTGTGAATATAAGTACCCAGCTGAATAGGGCCCAATACCATTTTTTGCTTCTAATGTGTATTCGATACATATTTATATTCTTGTCCATACGATCGACGCCTCCCATGAACCGATTATACTTACCAAAAAGATGAGGACGTGGGACCTGTACATTCGTTTATCTTTCTGTGAATAACGCTTCACAGTACTTATGGGTACCCCCAGATTACTAGAAGCAATAAACACTATACGCCACCTTCTTTGCTTATTGCTGACTCATAATACTCTCATTTTTCTTTTTTATTTGCTTTATTGTGGTGAGCTTCAGGCATTTTCTCAAACGATTTTCACGTACGGAATCTGTCGTGCCATAGCCATAGCCTTATCGAAGATAATTGAGCAACTTCAGACTTGTGAAGAGGCATTCAAAATATCACTCAATGTTCTTTGGTTTTTGAATGTTCCTAAATCCATATACCTGATAACAAGAAAGCGGAAGCAAAGTAATATCAGCTCATTCAAGTGCTTAGCGTGTCCATATGGACACGCGAACAAATTTGTTGTAAAACTCGATCGAAACAATGTTTTCACTTAGGTTATCATTTCAAACGTCAGATAACACTATTGACCACAATCCTATGCAAAAAGCAGTTAGCGTTTAAAATAATTTATAAGAAAAATTACTTACTTTCCACTGACATCCATGTTTTTTCCAAAGATCAAAATCAAACTAAAACTAGAACCTTATTTTACACGCAATACTCACTCGGGCTAAAAATAAATGTCATTTGATACTTTGATAGTAGTTACATGGCATTGCCAAAATAAGAAAACAGTTAGTCTGACTACAGTCATAGCTTACATTTTCTACTTACTGCGTGTCTATATGGACACGCTAGGCATTGCTGGGTTAATGAAATCTTAATTGCTATGAAACAAAAGAATGCAATGTCAGAGTTGAATAGTGCCTACGTCTGGCTATACTCTCGGGGCGTAACTCCGACAATTTAGGAAATCGAAACGCTTATAAAACTAAGAAAGCCTGAGTGAGCAAAAATTAAGACCTTGGCTTGTACAGTATACTAAACTCAAACTCAAAATACCTTTATTCATATAAACAAGTACACTTATGAACGTCAAAAAATAAGTTAAACTAATTGTAAATTTACTACCAGTTTGCAAGTCAAGGGCGTAGAGCGGGCAAGAAGAACTGCCAATAAAGTTTCCGCCACTCTTTAATCGCTAAGTTTTGAATCATACAAATTGTTTGAACTGGAGCAAATCAATCCCAAGGATTAGGATCATTTAAATATTCGTCAAATTTTTTGATTAATTTAGATTACAGTTAGTGTTGAAAGAAGTTGCTTTTTTAAATCGAAGAGGCGAAATCTTTATATATTAAGATTTGTACGGATATCCGTCTCTACCAAAGCATCGCAAGAGTAGGTGCAGGACAATTTAACATGTTCATCTGAACTATTTTACTAATACGCAACATTTCAGAGGGGCTTTGAACCCGAGACCTTAGTTTCTGCATTCCCTATTACGATAGCAATGAGCATGAGTTTCTAAATGTTATTGATATCCAATGCAAAAAAAATTAGAGTCTCCACGATCGATAGTTTAAACATTTTTAGATTTTTTGTTTTTTATTATAAATATATAAATAAAGGTACGGCAATTGTTTTATATTTGAGAAAAAATCGTCATAGTCGTAGAATAGTGACGGATCTGTCAAATAGTAAACTTTACAGGGCAGCCATTTCGAAATAATATAATCATGTTAGTTTTTTTTGTCATAACTTTTTTAATTCATATTCTTAAATATGAAAATTGGCATACAAGCAAACAAAACGGTTTGTTTTGAAACAAAATAAAAATAATAACATTAAATTACACAGTTTTCTAGAAAAATTACATGCTTCTATGAGCGTACCTATCAAATCCGTAATTTTACCGACTGATTAATTTGAAATTTTTTAATGTAGATGAAGTATTTAGTAAATGTAGTATCCAAATATGACAAAAAGTGTTTTTTTTCAAAACCGACATTGTTCTACGATCATGACGAATTGTTTGTGACGTAGGCTGTAAAAAGTTCAGAATTGTGATGTGACTTCTATTAATAAATGTTATTAAAAGTTTTAAAAAACGTAAATTTTCGGCGAATAAATTTAACGAAACACCTAGAGAAAAGAGTACCTACCTAAATTCTTAAGTTTAAAAGTGCGTTTTGGTCTTGCTAAAGCTATTGGTCATAGTTAGTACTTCCTGCTAAATAAACGACATAATATCGTATCGGGTACCCATCCAGATACTAGCCACATGAAGTGTTACTTAACCTCGCTGACATGTCGATGTACTGCACTTACCATTTAGCCCTTTTGATGAATGTTACTGATTTCACATTAATTACTACTATCCTGATGTTTTTAAGTCGTAACCCGGGGCAATGGTGACGGTGTATAATTTGAAGGCATATTCTACACGAACAACATCATTTAAATTATAGTCAT